ATATTTTATATTTCAACAATATAGCCGGTCGGCTATACTATATATTTAAAAAAAATTAAAGAAAAAACGAAACTCACCTCCTCAAGTGCCCAGCATCTCCATACGTGGAGCTTTGGAGATGGAATTATTTCCACCTGTGGAGCTGGGAGTTGGACTACACTGAATCATTTCCACTATCAAATTCTAAAACACAGATATATGTATACACACACACACACATATATACATACCTGTGTTATACACATCTGGTAAATCACCAATTCGCTGACACATTTAGAACCATACGTCAGGTTCTCTGCATTATCTTCCTCTTCATCCTGACCTTAAGAAAAAGCCTCGGAAATGAAAACCATTCTCTCAATCGAGCCCAAATTTTATAGGCAAATTACAGAAGGAGAGGTGGGCAGATTCGAGCACATTCCAACTGAGTTGCCTTTATCCCAATTGTATAGAAGAAGGGAGGGGGAGCATTTTTGCTCACCACTTTAACCAATGTGTACCACCACCACCACCATTCTCAACACTTGACACGTACCATTCACATAACCAGGGTTCCATAAATATACAAAGTAAAGAGTTAACTATAGTTATGTCAATGGATACGTGTCAAGTGTTGAGAAATGTGGTGAGGGTACACCTTAGATTAAAGTGGTGAGCAAAAATATTTTCATCTGCTTTAGCCTTCACATTTGGCCAGTATCAAGGTTTCGTTGCTAGTGCCAGGCGTTGTCGCACTTACGATCTCCACACTTGCAGAAAATAGCATGATTGGTTGGTGTAAATTGTCTGCAGCTGTAAATGACAATGTTAATTAATCAATCCAAGTAATCGTTTGTCAATGTTTGAAACCCTTATTTTTGTCGAGACTTTTTGTATTACGTGACTTAAAGCTTTGATTTTAACTCTCGCTATTGTATTCGTGGCTCTCATTTACAAATTTTGGTAAAACTTGATTTGAGAAGTAATCTGACTTCTTTGATGTATCTCTATCATATTACAAACTACAGATCTGTACAACATCAAGTTAATCTGTATAATTAAGTGTTATTCACACAATTAAGCATCCTGTTTGCAAAGTCGTTGATCATTGATTAAACTGTACAAGAAGCCAATGCAAATAACTGAATTGGATATATGCCTGGTAAATCACTGATTCGGTTGGAAAAAGAAAAGAAGCAGGACGTGATTCGGCCTCAAATATGATAGTAAATACCAAAGGATTTGAACCTTCAAAGAACCAAGAAGAGGGAACAAACAACCAGTGGAGCTGAAGAGAAATCCTTTCTTCCCTTTGAAATGCTAGTTTCTTCCCCTCTAATGATGAACATAATGTTGCTCTTTCATCGTCTGAGTACCTTTAGCAGTTATAAAGTTTGATAAACTTACGAGAATCCTCATGCTTGATACTTTGCCTGACTTTTCTATTTCTTCTTGTTGACAGCTTTGCAGCATATGGACAAAGTTGACGACCGCTAAAAATGCATGCTCCCATATGGACGTGCAAAAGCTGCCTTGACAATGAGACTGAGACTGACTGAAACCTCAAAAGATAATTCGAGCCAATAGCTGGAGTCCGACTTGATCCCGAAATATCTTGGGGAGGGGAGATGAGGAGGCCACGCTGCTGATCAAAATGGTGATGGACGAATCTTCTCAGTTTCCCTCCGTAGATCTGAAAAACACGCAAGTTAGAAATTTCATCTCCAAATAAGGAATTCATGTAGGAGGACTCCCCTCGTGTTCCATCAAGCTACCCAGACATTTACCAATGCACCAAGTCACTATATATATAGTTCTAGTGACACAACAGTTCTGACATTAAGTCGAGTTAATCTATATTGGGAGAATTAAGACAGGCCACCAAGACGTATATACATTATATGTGAATGATTTTGCACAGAATAACTCAGTGAGAAGATTATCAGAACTATATATATGACCAATAACCGTGACAAGGAAACCATAGAGGAACATATTATATTCATGAAGATCAAACCCTAATTGATGTAGATCTACAAATACCTCTGGTAAATCATGAATCCAAACCCTAATCTGATAAATTTTGAACCATATAGTCCAACCAACATAGGATCGTCAAAACCAATGGTGTTCCAGATCTGCTGTTTTTTTTAGCAAGGCGATCACAAATTTGGTAAATTTAGATAATCAAAACACACTGCTTGTTCCACTCATCCCAAACAAATCAGAAAGAAAATATATTTTGTAAATATGAAGGGATTACCTGAGCAGCCGTGGCATCTCTTGAGTTTTTTTTTTAATACTCTTTCTTCCTAGAGTGAGCTCGTCGTCCAGGCCCTCTATTGGAAAGAGTTCTGCAAAACAAACTCAAATATAATCGTTAGAGAATTGAAATCAAATAATTATATAAAACAGAAAGTGTTACTTTAGATCTTTGTATATACCCGTCTGGTGAATCACTAATTCGATGTTAAATTTAGAATTCTCGAGGCTTTCAGCATCATCTTCCTCTTCATCCTGGCCTTCAGACATACCCTCAGACGCCAAAACCATTCCCTCTATTGAACCCAAGATATGATGAGCTCAGTTTTGTAGAAGAGGTGAACGGCGGTTTTGACAAACAATGGCTTAAATATATCATGATCATCTGTTAGGTATTAGGGTTTGGTGGGTCTATCTTATCTGCTACAGCCTTCGCCAGGTTCTATTTGGCAAGTGTTTTCGTTCCCTGCCAGTGCCAGGCCTATGAGATATATATATATATATGTTTCCAAACAAAATGTACGAAATAAATTATACAAAAAATATATATGACTTAAATGAAAAATAAATTTATATTTTCGGAAATAAAAAATTACTGGATTTCCTAACCAAGAAAAATAAAAAAAAGACCTAATTTTCTATTATGTTAATAGTAAAAGCTTTCGTGATGTTTCATGTATGAGTGCAAACATGTCATACAAAGAAGCAACTCATTCTTTCATAAAAACGACGATCTTATTCTTGAAGTTGCTAATTAATGAGCACGTAAAAGAGATAACAATGAAAGGTTTGTCATTTCCTCTACTCTATGACGTGTTCCTTGAGCTACACACACATCATCCATATTGAGAATGTCAATATCGTGCTTGCCATAAAAGGAAGAAACTTTCTGCTTGTTTGGGAGTGATTTTGAGAGGGCAACATCATTTATGGGGAGAAGCACTCTATGTCCTTCTCCATAAAATAACTTAAAAACTACTTAAAGTGATTATTGGTTTATCTGGAATCACTCACATACCAGCCCTTTATCAAGTAAAATATCTCATTCATATCCCTCATTGTTTGCAATTATTGCTTACAAGCTTTGACTAAAGCCAAAACATTCACAACATCTTCATCTTTTTTGTTTTTTATTTTATATTATTTTTTATAATGCTTGTGACAAGGCATTTCTGATCCCCAATGCACTTTTCTTCAAAGATAGACAACATACAAAATGGAAAAATTGCATCAATTCAAACAAATTACTTGCTTCGCCTCTGTGATAATAATTTACTTCATTTTCAAGAATCCATTAGTAACACAAGAGATGTGATGCTTGTTGGTTGAGGAATTTTATCATTGGGATGGATTAACGTGATTGAATCCATTGAGAGGCCGATTCAGCTTTATTGTGATAATCAACCAGCTATATTTTTCGCAAAGAACAACAAGAGATCTGACGAACTCGTGTCAAATACTTGTTGGTAAGAGAGAAAGTAAAGGAATGACAAACTCGTGTTGATTATACCAGTACTGATGACATGTTAGTTGACCTATTGCGAATCAATGTTTAGGAAACATGTTGCGGCTATGGGTTAGTTCCAGACCTTGATGCCGCGAGCTAGCGAAGTTTTGATTTTGTTTTCATGTTTTAGCTAATTTATTTTCTCATGTTGAAACCATTGCATATGCACAAGGTTGATTGTTTATTTATGCAATGAGGTATTTTTATTTCGAATTTCAATTTCTCATCGTGGTTGTGTTATTGTATTTCCATAACATGTTGATGCAAATGGTCATGTGTTTGCTCTTAGACCTATATGACCCATGTTTGATAAGAGCAAATGGAAAGTTTACTGAAATCTTTCGGAGGACCAAATACATGTTAGTGGAGTGTGTGTTCCCATTTGTTACAATAAGCTATATTGTTAATCCACTTATGCCTAAGTTCCTGGTATGGTTGCATATCAGTGGCTTTTTGGGATATGTCTGACTAATATAACATACTCCTTTATTGGTCCTATGTGTTGATCATATTTGACAAGAAACGTGTTTTAGAATTTTTGGCTTAATTACCTTTCATGGTGGACAATTAATGTATTCATGGTTAGTTAATTGTTCGCCCGAGTGGAAGAATGTATAAGAGCTTTCGGGCTCCATCATTAGTATATGGGCTTGTTGTGTACTACCTATTGGTACATGATTTATTAATGGGAAACATTATATGGGCCAATAATAATAGGCGGACTCTATATCTGTTATATGGTGATTTCTTATTTTTGGGCTTGGACTGTTCCTACATGCGTTGAGATTAGGTTTCTCCTTGATGGATGGGAATACTAATTGATACAATAGGAAACCAGACTCTTCATACTACAATCAGCAAAAGGCTGAGCAGCAACATCTTCCGAGAGTGTGTAGGAAGATTGCAAGAGTGAGAAGCAAGAAATCTGTTTCAGACTTAGACGAAGAGACGTAGTCGAAGGACGAGGTAGATGAAGCGTGATTTTGTTTTCTCCGTACTCTAATTTTGAGTTGAGAATGGAGAAATTGTCATTTTGGCATTTTCACGTTTTACACTTTATGCGTAAATTCATTCTCCCAAATCATTTTCCGTGTTTTTGTCAACAACCCACTGAACGCATTTTCTATTCGTATTTGGGCTCAGAAAATGAAAATGGTCCTCTAAATATGCTACCGAACAGCTCCTAAGTAAGCTAGAATTCTATAGCGAGGACCTTATATATAGCCCTTAGGTTACTTAAACACTGAAATTCTTGGGTTAAGGGTTTTTTCAAACAGGAGTATTTACTTAAACACTGAAACCTTTGCTTGTTTATTGTTAATTAGCCCAGAGTTTATATTAAAGTACAGGCTGTTTCTAACAGAAGTTATTCATTGGTAATATAGATTACACATCGGAGACATTTCCCTTCAATGAGTAAATCAAAAGCTTTGTTGATTTCTTCAAACCTGATCTCGTGTGTCACAAACTCATCAAGTTGTAGTTCCTGATAGAATGAAAAAACCCAAAAAAAAAAATTATTATTATTAAAAGGATATATGTCCAAGGTATATAAGTTAGGCAAACCACCCCTATATAAACAGATAGATGCTTTAAATTACCTTGTCCTTATATCGATTGATGAGGACAGCGATATCAGATTTAGGTTTGAGTCCTCCAAATAAGGATCCCGTGAGGGTTTTGCCAAAAATGATATCAAGAGAGGGAAGAGTCACCTGTGAGCCCGGTCCGTCCATGCCTAAAACAACTGTTTTTCCCGAACCCTGAAGTTGAAAAGAAATGTTTAGATATTGTTTTGTATCAAAATTTAAACTTGTAGCTATTTTGGCCAAAGTAGGTGGTGGAGGATGGGAATTGCCTCCTTGTGCATATATACCAAGTACATGCAGAATTTTCAAAGTGAAAGTATATTTTCATGATTTTGCTTGGAGATCAAGTTAACATCTCAAGGATGGGCAAACAGTGGTCTAAGTAGAGATGATGACAATGGGTTAAATTAGGGGAGGGTATGCCATTTCCATATCCATCCCCGTCTAAGCTCAAAACTCTTATAAGCACATCAAACAAACTTTCCAACAGGCTTCAACAAATTCCTGAAACACATTTCTTACATATATTTCAAAAATTACTACCTAGGAGGATCGTTCAATGCAAAATAAGGCTCAGCATAGACTTCACAAATCATGATATATGTGGTATAGAAACTTCTGATCGATTTCTTAATATATAAGCGTCACTCTCTCTTCCCGCCTCTTAATTTTAGTAACCTTGTTGAAATTTCCCCTTTGCTAAGTTTTTTTAGTTTAAAAAATAATGATAATTTCTTCTTTTGGGGTCAACTTTGTTAACTTGATGTCCCTTGTGTCCACTTTTTTGAAAAGGAACAATCTGGCCCTAGTAGTGTTTTTTCAATTAAGTTTATGTAGTTGTACTCTTTTGTTTTTTCGTTTCCTAATGAGGTTATTGTAGTTAGATTTCAATTACAATCAATGATAAATTTCCTAATTTATTGATGAAAATATTACAAGATTCAAGCATGTGATGTAAAGATAGGAACTTAATTGAAATGGAAATCAAACTTTAGAAACATATTTGATGTAAAGATAAAACAAATAAAAAACAATCGTTCAAATGATAAATTGACTTTGAAAGATGTTGCACATTGGTTCAAAAATTGTGAATTGCCCTACGGGTTTAGACTAGTGAAAAAGAGACCAAACCCCACAGGATCAATATGATCCATAGCACTTTCTTGATAGGACCAAATATGAGAGAGAGAGAGAGAGAGAGAGAGAGAGAGAGAGAGAGAGGCAGACCTTTCGGCAGCAAGCGTAAGCTTCTTGCATCAGTGATATCAGCCCAACACATTCAAAGCAATAGTCTGCACCCCCGCCAGTCATTTCCTTGATCATCTGCTTCATGTAAAAAACAAACTGTAAATCCTTAGTAAAATAACCAAATCAATCAGAAGTGAAAGCCGAAGCCACCAAAAGCATATCAACATCCAGTAATGTAATCTTTTAATTTCAAGAATAAGTGTGCATATGAGTACAAAAACAAGTAATGAAATCTCCAAAGTTTGGTGCATAGTTGTAGAGAACCTCGCTCACAGAATTATTCTCACAATTCGCAGGGTCGACAAAGTCAGTGAGCCCAAACTTTTTTCCTGTGTCAATAAGAAAAAGAACAAGTCTGCATTAATCAGATTCAGATTAAGCACATCATACATCAATTCACAGGCACAGCATAAAGTATAATCAAGCTAAGATCCAATTACCAATTTCAAATTTGTCTCGGTTCACATCCACGCCAATAATTCTAGCTGCTCCACAAAGTCTTGCTCCCTCCGCGACCTGGAGAGTTCAACCATGGATATGATCCTAGAGTGAATCAAATATGGACAATGAGGAAAAGAAGTAAAAAGAAAACAAGTTCTGCAAATGCATACAGCTAATCCAATTGAACCCAGCCCAAATATAGCAACGGTTGATCCCTTCTCCACCTTTGCTGTTCTCCAAGCAGCACCAACTCCTGAAACCGAATTGAAGAAATAACAATTCAAGTCTAAATTTTGCAAACACCGCCACATCAAGTCAAGAAGAATGTCTACAAGTTTAGGAATTTCAAGTTTATCGGTCGATACTCCACAGCTCAGGAGGCAGGCCCTGCTTGGGGGTATTGCAGTGTCAATTTTTGTGATATGGGCTATGTCTACCACTGTATACTCAGTAAAACTAGACACGGAGAGGAAATGGTATAAAACCTCCCCACTGAGGTCCGTGAATCTGCTCGTCCCGTATCTTGGCATAAAATTTGAGGGCCTGGGGAATTTCGCACATAGGTTGCTCCTTGTCGATTTACAATCTGCACACTCTCCACATTCTGACACGAATGTTGGGATGACGGTATCTCCCTCAGTCACCTCATTGACATCCTCCCCAACACTCTACACAACCCTACAAGGAAATTTATATATCTCCTTCAGTTACCTCATTGACATGAATATGTTGGTATTTTTATTTGCTGTTGATTGAGTCAAATATGAAGGGGCAGATCTAGGAATTTATTGCAGGAGAAGAAAAAGTGGTGGAAGAAGAGAAAACCCATCATTTGACAAAGTATCTTCTCTTAAATAATAGCATATAAATCTATGAAAAAGAAAGAGAAACACATCATTTCACATCCTGAAAGTAATAGAGAAATAGACAATTACTAAAGAGATAGCGGTCTTTCTTTAACAATAATATGGTTTGAAAGGTAAGATCACAAAGTCTTGGAGCTCACCCAATAGCTTCGTGACCAAGAATTCTTGGGAAAATTGCAGGGAAGTCCTGGCAAAACAAGAAGCTATGGATAAGCATCAACTCTTAATTATTGTAAATAGTAGCATACCAAAAAACGAAAAAGAGATGCTAAACAAGAACCTTCATTTTCCAGAAGGAGAGATCGGTCTGACACAGAGAGGTACATATAATTCGAATACGGACTTCATGAGGCATCGGGGGTGCCACCATGATCTCTTCAATCACTAGAGGCTCACCTGGTTTGCGACTCACAGCAGCTGCCATTTGTATTACATATTTACATGCAACATGATCAGTTTCAGAGTCTCAGACTATTCAAAAACAATATATGCAATAAATTTAAACTAACAATTAAGCTTATCAATAATAAGAACCTCTGCATCGAATCGGCTTCCCTCGGCTTTCACTTGGCAATTTCTCATCATCCATAGCGGCCATAAGAGCGCACACACACTCTCTCTCCCCCCCGGACTAATCTGTCAGTCTTCCTGTGAGTGTGTATTGTGTACAGGACATGCTTGAACGGCTGAGACTTCGGTGTCCAAGGATAAGTTTTTAACGAAAAATAAATATAATAAAAAATGACCCAATTTGAAGTAGAGTTAGGTAAAGAGACAATGCAAAGACAGTTAGGAATGAGTGAACAGAAGTTTTCCAATGATGAGCATCTTACCAGCAATGACCCTACAATGAATCAAACAAATGATATAAGACTTGTCACATGTGTTAATGAAGTTAAAGAATGAAAAACTGTCTTTCCAGCTGTGTTTGATGTACGTTTTGGTAACTCGCGTGAATGGCATGGGTTGCATCATGCAATAAAAAATAATGAAACTATATTGAATCAAAATTGAAAAAGAAAAAGGACACACCATTGACTCTCAAGCCATATAAATGACATTGGAGATTAAAATTCACCCAGCATGACAGAGCAGATACAAAGTAAAGGAGGGAAAATCCAAACTCTACCCAGAATGACAGAGCTGCAGTAGGAAAGTGTCAATCAAGCTACAACTTATATGATATACAAATCGCTAATGGGATTCTGAAAATCCCAAAAATAATAAAAAGAATAAAAGAATATAAAGTTGGTATATATTGTGAATTATAAAAGTATGGACTAGTTTGTCATTTCAAGACAGTGTGCTGTGTGCATGATGATACAAGAAAAGGCACAATTAATTAGGAAGCTGATCTGTTGGGCTTTTTTAGTCTTCTACTGAAATGAAGAAAGAAATACACTTCAAATAAATAAACATTATATGTTGTGCCAGTTAGGATGTTGAGGTTCCACCAATTTTTTTTATTTGGAGCATATGTGATCGTTGGGCTTCATACATGATTAAATGCCCAGTGAGTTCTTATCATTAGTAGTCAAAATTTAGCGTCTAAATTCATAAACGTTAGTTTTTATAAAAACTTTCAAACTTATTTGACTCATATACCTCAAAATCAAAAACCAAACAAAGCTGAAAACCTTATCATACCAAAATAATATAAATAGTTTGTCATTACCAGATCACTTTCATTTGTGTATGAATTGGTCTAGACTGTCCATCCCCTCTTGAGTACTTGTCCCCTCCAAAATAAAACAGTTGGTGTCATATATGACTCACACCAACCTGCAAAAGTGGATGAACCCAAAGAATATACCAACTTATAAACTTAACCAGGAGGTTGGAGGAAGGTATGGAAAAAGTAGTATATACAAAATGCTAAGACCAACTTGTTAATTATAATAAAAATTATGAATGTTCAACCATCTAGTTTTCAACAATGGAAAGAGATGTACCACTAAACTAAGAGTTACTTATTTTGTTAATTATAATAAAACTAGGACCTCTTACAACATTGGAAAGAGATGTACCACTAAACTAAGAGTTACTCATTTTGAAATGAACATACTTCTAATAAGTTTTTGTTAACAAAAATGCTAGTCATATATAGTACATATATACTACATTGTGTACCACCTCTCTAATAAAGGTGAGCCCCGTTGCATTGGTGGCTCCACCTTTATTAGAGAGTTGATACATAAGGTGATATGCAAATGTGATATCTCTAGCATTGCTCTTTTGTTAATAGCATTTGTAAAATTAATAACGAAAGATTTGGTTAGTTGCGGTGCAGTGATCTCGATTAATCATCATTGCAATCATCTATTACAGTCACAACAACAACTTACACATTAGGAGCTGGAAATGGAAGAAAGTAATCTGACTACTCCAAATGACACAGAAAACCCATACATTGAATTAGCAACATCGATTAGAAAGGACTTGGATAGCTAATCTCCCCCGGCATATGATCGTTGTATCTACAGGGTTCCTGAGCATCTACGGTGTATAAAAGAAAAGGCCTACACACCACAGGCAGTCTCTATAGGCCCATTTCACCATGGTAAGGAAAGCCTAAAAGCCATGGAAGAACAGAACATAAGGTACCTACAAGATTTTCTATGTCATAGTAAGTTAAACTTGGAGATTTGTATTATAATAACAAAGGACCACAAAGCACGTTTGCGTGGTTGTTACGATGAAACCATTGAGTTTTCCAGTGATGAATTTGTACGAATCATTCTAGTAGATGCTGCCTTCATCATTGAGGTCTTATTGAGGTGGAGTTTCCGCGAATTGCTGGATGAGAATGACTGGACATTTTACAGACCAGTTACAATGGCAGTTTCAAATTTATTAGACATGCAGATGCTTGAAAATCAACTGCCATTCTTCATTCTTAACCCAGACAAAGACAAACTCCCTATGTGTGATGAGAGTCTTTCAATACTTGATCTTTCTGTCAAGTTCTTCCAGGATCCCATGTTTCGAGAGGAAACTGACGATTTATTTGAAGTAGAACATTTTGTTGGTTTAGTAAGAGCTTTATGTAGACCGAATTTTGAACTTTCAGCAGAACTCAAAACCATCACCATACCAAGCATGACAGAGCTACATCAAGCAGGAGTCACATTTATGGTAGGGTCAAGCAAAAATTTATTCGACATACGATTCACCAATGGGATTTTGGAAATTCCAAAATTGAAAATATCCCCGGCAATAGAGTTTGTAATTAGAAATATCCTTGCATTTGAACAATGCCATATGCATTGTGATGAAAATTACATAAATGATTATGTTGTCATCATGGATCGTTTTGTGAACACCCCAAAGGATGTGGAGTTGCTTGTTGAGCATGGAATAGTTGAAAATCTGCTAGGTGACAGCACCGGAGCTGAACAAGTAGTGCAGAACGCCCTGTCACAGATGGAAGGCAAATTTGAGGCAAAACTATTTCAACACACCTTGGGCAACTATTTCTGTCGTTGCAGCTGTTGTTCTCCATCTCTTGGGTGTCATTATTTTACATGGAATAAAATCTTTACCTTTGTTTTCTTTTGATAAATATAAGGGTTACTTTTAGTAGGCATGTCGCACATTTATTCCAAGAGGAAAATAATATACCTTCTCCAACACCAGAAGATTACCAAAAATCATACAGCCAACTAATCTGCACATTTATTCCAACAGGAAGAGATGATAGACATAACAAGATAACTAGGTGAACCATCCAAGGATGGAGATGTTGGGCCACATATCTAATTTTTGATACCAAAAGAAATCACTTTCTGCGTCATTATTTACGACTGATGTTACTGTAGATAAAGATCACTTCTACTATGCCACTCTTTGCGAGGACCCGATCAAGATTTGTAACCCTATTTTCTTCTCCATTTTTGTATGAAGATATTCAACCATTGTGTCTGAGAAACCTCGTTGTATTCTATGAATTCAAGATTTTTCATATGGAATATTATAAGAATAGATTCTGCAATTTGCTCCCTTTATGACGATTAGGGGCCCGCACGATCCATATTGAATCGGTTTTATCTCAAAATTACGGCCGAACTAATTACAATATAACGGTTTGGTTTGGTTCAATTTTGACAAAAGTCATGAAGAAAATCGAACCAAAGCAAACTAGTTTAAGACGGTTTGGTTCGGCTGGTTTGGGCCTAAGCCCAATTCTCTTTCCTTTTGCATATTTCCAACATTGTTAGAGCAATTACAACAAACAAATTCACAACTTGCTCCATACTTAAATAATTTTCTAAGTATGATACCATCATAAAACTTCAAATTTTAATAACTAATATGGTTCAATTCAAATATACATATATAGTTATTGCCTAATTAGAGTATTACACATGTAAACTATAATATAAATAAATAAATATACACAAAATGGTTCGGTTTGGTTTAGATCGGTTTACAAGAGCTCAAAACCAAACCAAACCATATATGGTCCGATTCGATTTTTAAACAGTTTCACTTTTTCTTTGTCAAAACCAAACCAAACTAGTAATAACGATTTGGATCGGCCAATTTCATTAGTTCGACCGAATTGATGCCCACCCCTAATGACGACTTATATATTATTAAGTTTTTGAAGTGAAATTGTTTTGTCTAAAAGATAGTTGAAGCTAACAAAAAAAGGGTTAATTGTTTTATTAGTCTCTGAATTTAGACCCGATTTGCATTTGAGTACCTTGATTTCCAAAATGGTTCCCGTGATCCCTTAACTTCACTTTCGTTAGAACAAATGGTCTTGCCATTAATTTTGTTAACTTTTCTGTTAAATGCATGGGCAAAATGATATTTTTATATTAAAACAAAAAAAAATGAATAAAAAATCATATCTATGGTCAATCTTGACCACAACTTGATAGATTGGTTGAGCATGATGCATGGGGCCTTGCTACCCTAAATCCATACTCTACAGATCTCCTCTCTTGGTTCCCATGACCCTTGCTTTTCTTGTGACGGCGGCGACATATCTGTTGGTGGCAACGGCTTGTTTTGTTTAGGGTTAGATTTTAGGGTTTTTGCATTTTGTGGGTTTTTGTTGTTTTGGGCCTGCTATTTCGGCACTTACGGTTGAGTTTTTATTTTGTTCAGTTTGAGCCTAGGCAGTAGTCTTTTGTTTAGAGACGGACACGCTCCCCTGGGAGGTGTCGATACTCTGATCTCTAAGCTGATTACTTGTTCCCGGTGTCTGTTTGTGTTTTGTTAGCTTTGTTTTTGGGCTGTTGGTAGCCTTCTGGTGTATGCTCTTTGTTTGCTGCTTCTAGCTGGTGGTAGTCGTGTTTCACCTTCTGATGTACTCTCTTTTGTTTAATGGAAAGTATATTTGACCCAAAAAAAAAAAACAAAATTCCCTAATCCACAAGCAAAATGTGCTATTATTTTCAAATTCAACACATCCATATGATCTCCTAAAGTATATCGGTATAATGAAAGCAGATCTTGGTCAACGGAGTCCCAAGAAGGTAAGAACTCCAACTTGTCCGATGCGATAAACAAGTGGGACTTGCACTCTATGAGCAAGCTGTGGGAAAAACCGATGTAACCCAAATTGTCAATTGCTACAACACCCGTGTGCTTTTCAATTCAGTAACAAATTTTTTTTTTTTTTTTCTCATTTTCTTTTAGGGATAGAATACTCTTTGTTATTCTTATTCACATAGTATTGAATGCAGCGGCAGTGATGTGCGGCTGGGTTGGGGAGCCACATTGGCCGGCGACACGACGAAAGGAGGATTTATGATGGTAAAACATGGGTGTTGTGCAGCAGTAGTAGGGTTGGCCCTGACTTTTGGTTGACTCGGGATCATAAATTAAAATGAAGCCCTTTTATGTTTCATCATCTTGAATATAGTAAACTAAAAAAGAAAACTAAGGTTTAGGGAGAAGGTTATAATGCCCTTTTTCTTTTTTGGTCAATAAAGCTTCATTAAGCAACCGCAAAAGGCAAAGAAAACAAGAACAAGAGAGCCAAAAACCAAAGAAAAACAGAAGAAGAAAAAAAAAAAAAAAAAAAAAAAAACAGAGCAACAATGAAAAAGTTTAAAGCAAATTATAAGAATTTGTTGTAGCATCTGGTTTTTGCAAAAAGATTTTATAAATAATATCTTCACAAAGAGAATATCTCGTACGAAATTGCAGGAACATAAAACAAAAATAAATAAATTAAAGGATATGAATAAGAAATCTGATTGTGTTTTGAGAACTTATAGAAACCAAGAATGGAAAATAATAAATGGTGGGTTTGAGGAACAGAGAAGAGGGAGTAAATAAAAATATGTTTGTTGGTTGCTCTGTAGAAGATTTGTTTGTTTTGGTAGACTTTAAATTGAAATCGCTAATCATATTTGAGAGTTGTTTTCCAGTACTAACTACAATGAGTAATGACATCAATATGACATAAAGGGTCAAAGTCAAGCATCCAAAGGAAGAATCGTAGTCATCCTTCTGCCACGCGTCATGACAGGGATCCATAACCACTGGCTTAACAGAATTGGGGTTAAAACGAAACAGACAGATAAACAAAATAAAATAGGCAAAAACAATTTCAAGCCCAAATGAATGAGCGGACCCCACGTGGTCCGTGCCTCTGCGGTGCAGGAGGAAGTCCACGTGAGGGAAGTGGAGGAGGCGGGAAAGAAGAAAGCACGCAGATTTGGCAAAGTGTGTGCGCCGGGGGTTTTGCATAGAGAGCCGGAGATTCCTTCTATAGCTGGAAGGGACCGGGGTCGAATTCGTCATTTCACAAAGCGTAAAAAAAGTTTGAAAATTAAAAGAGGCAGTGCTGTAGAGAGAGTGGACCTGGACCAGTGTAGGTGGGTTGGGTTAGGGAGTTGGTCAGACTCAGGAGGAGGAGAGGTGTGGGGCCCACTATATACACAGAGAGAGAGAGAGAGAGAAAACTTCCTATTCATCCACAATCCTCAAAATGGCGTCAACTTCTATCTGAGCTGGCTGTCATGCCAGCCTGTATCCAGCTGTCTCCCAACCCCCATCCCCCAAAAAAAAAAATCACAATTAAAAATTCATCTCTCTCTCTCTCTCTCTCTCCTCTAGCCCTTTACACTTTCCAATTTAGAAACTCAATAAACAAACACACAGAGCACAAAACCAGAGCATCAATGGCATTGCCCTAGACTGAGGGAGAGGAACTTCTGCTTTGCATTTACTTTGCTTTCTGCAATGGATCCCTGCCCATTCGTGCGGGTCACAGTGGGCAATCTCGCTCTCAAGATCCCAGTCGCTTCCAAGCCCGCCCGTTCCGTCGTCCACCCTTCGTCAGCACCATGCTTCTGCAAGATCAAGCTCAACAACCTGCCCCCTCAAAACGCCGTCGTACCCTGTCTCCCGCCTGAGGCCCAAACCCTCGACAGCGCCGCTCAGGCAAACGGTGTCGCCGCTACTTTCCACCTTAGCAAGTCGGATCTGGACCGGGTCGGGTCCAAGTCCATATTTGCCCCCAAGCTCTGCCTTAAAATCTCGATATACACGGGTCGCAGAGGCAGCACCTGCGGCGTCAATTCCGGAAGGCTGTTGGGTCGGGTTTCCGTGCCGCTGGATCTGGCGGGAACCGAGTCCAAGCCCAGTGTGTTCCACAACGGGTGGGTCTCCGTCGGGAAAGGCGTCCTCAAAGGCGTGTTCTCGGCCCAGACCCAGTTCCATTTGAATGTTAAGGCTGAACCCGACCCGAGATTCGTTTTCCAGTTCGACGGAGAACCCGAATGTAGCCCACAAGTGTTTCAGATCCAAGGCAACATTCGGCAGCCCGTGTTCACCTGCAAATTCAGCTTCAGAAGCACCGGCGACCGAGGCACTCAAAGATCCAGGTATTATTCATTTTCCCCAAATTTTCTTCGTCTGTGTTAGGGTTTCGGTATGATTGTTATTATTATTTAATTTTGCAAATAAAAAAAGTAGATTCTGTGTTTGATTCGAGATTGTGAATGCGAATGTTTTGTGTAAAAGTTGGATACTATAATTAAATTAGAGTAGTGAAGCTCACAATTTTGTTCGCTTTACGACGACGTTTTGCAATTGAATCCTTCAAGCGGACTCTGATCCCATTAAAGCTCTTTACTTAGATTCTAAGCCCATTTTTTATTAATCAGGTCCCTGTTTCATTTCCGGAGCTTTTACAAAGTTTGTTTACTGGCGATTAATTTTTATTCTTATTTTGCCCCTTTCATCTTCTTAAATTTACTACGCAGATTCTGAATTTATTTATTTTATTCCCATTTTGCCCCTCTGTTCACAGGTCTTTACATTTGGACCACGGCAACTCTCGAAGCTGGTTAGGCTCGTTTGGGAGCGAGAGAGAGCGACCGGGGAAGGAGCGAAAGGGCTGGTCCATAACGGTCCACGACCTCTCCGGCTCGCCCGTAGCTGCAGCCTCGATGGTCACGCCCTTCGTGGCCTCACCCGGTTCGGACCGGGTCAGCCGATCCAACCCGGGATCCTGGCTCATCCTCCGACCCGGCGACAACACGTGGAAACCGTGGGGCCGCCTCGAGGCCTGGCGCGAAAGAGGCGGCTCCGATGGCCTTGGGTACCGCTTCGAACTCATTCCCGACACCAGCGGTGCCGGCATTGTGTTGGCCGAGTCCACTCTCAGCTTAAACAAGGGCGGGAAATTCGTACTGGATCTGGGTTCGGGTTCCGGTACCCGACCCGTCCCAAACTCTCCGGGTTGCAGCCCGCGCGGCAGCGGGGATTTCGGGTACGGGTTGTGGCCCTATTGCTTGTACAGAGGTTTTGTGATGTCGGCGAAGGTTGAGGGTGAGGGCAGGTGCAGCAAGCCTGCGGTGGAGGTGAGCGTGCAGCACGTGAACTGTACGGAGGACGCCGCGGCTTACGTGGCGTTGGCCGCAGCCGTTGATCTGA